AAGAACTCTGTAACCACTTGGGCTGATCCAAATCAAAGATAGGGCTGTTTTGGGAACCCCTGAATTACCTCAACCACTTGACAGGAATATTCCCAAAGTGTGTCATGTATTTAGGGGGCTATTAACTGGACCAATGCTTCTCAAAATTTAATTGCATGTGAATTACTAGGGACTCATTAAAAATGCAGATTCTGATTCAGTAGTTCTGGGGTGGGAGCTGACAGACTGGATTTCTAACAAGTTCCATAGTGATACCTTTCCTGCTGGTGTATGGACCACATTCTGAGAAGCAAAGAATGACATAGTTCTTAAAGTCACATTTCAATACTGAAAATATCGTCCTCCTGGAAAATATATGTCAGGAACAGAGAAAGCAGTTATATACTGAGTTTTCCATATGAAAATGGTAATGTTTGAGAGCATGAAGGAAGCAGGAGCATTGCCTGGAAACAGAAGCAGGGATACTCAAAAACTCATTCAGTAAATGCATATTTTAAAATAATCTTTCGCAAAACCTGAGGTATCACATTCTCTGACTTCAAACTATACTACAAAGATACAGTAATCAAAACAGTATGGTATTGGCAAAAACAACAACAACAACAACAACAAGAACAACAACAACAAAACGAACACACAGGCCATTGGAACAGAATTGAGAGCCCAGATATAAACCCACACATATATTGGCAACTAATTTTCGACAAAGTAGCCAAAAACATACAGTGGAGAAAAGAAAGTCTCTTCAATAAATGATGCTTGGAAAACTGAAAAGCCACATGCAAAGGATAAAAATAGATACAAAACACAAAAATGTACTAAAGACTTGAATATAAGACTTGAAGCAATAAGATACATAGAAGAAAACATAGGCACTAAATTTATGGACCTTCATCTCAGAGGAATCTTTGTGAACTTATTGAAATTAATAGCACTAATTTTTTCACTTTTAATAATTTGATTTTATATTAAAGTCAAGACTTCATCTAGTTAGTTCAGTAAGAATCCTTCCAAGTTAGTTATCCACGTCAGAGCCTTTCAGTGTACAGATTTTGCTTCATTATTCTCTTACCTTCATTTCTAGAGATCAGGGCTTCCAAACTCTTGTAATTACAGATGTCCCTCAAGATAGTCAGCCTTTCCATCCTTTGGGAAGGTCAGGCCAGCAGCTTGATTCTGGGCTCCTGAAAAAATGACCAAGCCAGATTGGCAATTAGTCAATCATAATCAGTGACACCTAGCACTCATTGGTCTGGCCTCAAGGCAGTGAGCTCAACAAAGATGAGTGTCCATCACCTTAATATTTACTTCTGCAACTTGCTGCAAGCATGTCTGTTTCCATTATGGGAAAAGGATCTGTGGATCTGCTGGATGAATTTATGTTCTGAGTGCTTAATTAGCAAGTGCGCCCACAAACATTTGGCCATGGGAGGGTAGATAATGAGAAAGAAAGTTAGGGGTTCCTGGCAAGTGTATCTTTAGGTGGTGACTCCAATATCAGTCTTTCTGTACATTAAATATTTTTACCCATTTGTGGCAAAGTAGGTGCATGGTAACCTCTAAAAGGCATACGTATTTTCCAATTTAGAATTTCAATATATTTTGTAATACTTAACATATAAATTTTAAGTACACTTTAAATCTATAGCATCCGTTTATGAAATTGCAATGGTAAATTTGGCAAGGACATAAAAGGAAGAGTTGCTATATTTAAAATCAAATGTTGCAAATGTTGTAATGGTTGTAAAAGTTGTTTCGAAATTTTGTTCTCTAATTGTGCAAATAAAATTTTTTTCCGAAAGCAACTATCAAGAATTTGAAAAGATTATCATTAAAATGTTTTGATTAGATATGGTATATAGGCTTTCAAGTATAAAACTTAAGACAAAAATTTATAGTGATGGACACATATTCATATTCCTCAATTTAAAATAACCTATATTCGGTTTGAATATGCTGCCCCAAATATTGCATTTTATTTTTGTCACAAATTTGTATTATATAAAGAAAATGTAAAGAATCTCTTTACCAAGTCCCATACAGGTATCCCCAAATTTCTTCCAGTTTACCCACAGTGTGCCACACAAATATTGTTATTTTCTATGTTGTGAAACACTGCTATAGGTAGATTTTCCTTTGTATTTTCCATTACCAAATATTTTCTGGTTTAATTACAGACTAATTGATTACAGACTCGTTTTAATATACAGTTACTATTACCCAAAGGAAACAGGTAAGTCTATATAACAATTGGAAAACGTTAAACCTAAGTTATTTCCTCACTCTTTCTCCCATTCCTCTTGAAAATCTTGAAATATTATTCTAAATGGCTATAAATTTTCTTTTTCTTGACCTCAGTGGTTATATAGCGTTCACTTTGTGATAAATCATTGAGCACATTGTTTTGTGCACTTTAGTGTGTACACTTTCTTAGTAACAAAAGGTTTTCAAAAATTGTTTTCTAAGACTAAAGAGATATGGCGATCTACAGATCTCTGAACATATTCTTGCTTCCTGCTCAAACTAGCCCAGTTCCTATATAGTCTCCAAGAAAACTTAATATATGACTAACTGTATCATTAGGCAGTTGGGAGTCATCATGAAAGGCATGACAGTCACTTGATAATTCATAATGGAAATACACTCCTCTTCAGTTTCTGAATGATCCTGTTTTCTATATAAATTAATCAGACCAAGTAAATACTATTAAAACAAATTTAAGGATGACAATTGGCTCCTCTAATTCATTATATAACATATGACACTGATGGGCCTGGAGGTTTGGATTCCACATCAATTTGCACCCCTCACCTTAATAAGTATTCATTTCTTCTGAATCTCAGAAGTTGTGGCAAATAAAATCCATCAGATAAAATTTAGACAGTTTCAGAATAAATCACTGATATGCATTGTTTGGATGGGGATATTATTTTCTTACTGTGAGAATGTAGTTTACCCTAATAAGCACATCAACCAAATGTTTATTCTAGGCTTGCACAGTGCTCCATTTAAGACAAATGTCTCATTAATGAGACACTGGCCTTATCGACAATACTCTGCTAAAATGATTTACTCCACCAATAAGGGCAAATGTGTTCCTGCTCTAACCATACCTATCACTATTAAACATCTGCAACAAATTTCTTTTGCCTTGCTAGCACACAGCATCTGTCTACTGTGAGAAGGAAACTCAGAGAGCTTGAGGCCACAACTCAGGCTGAGGCATGAAGGGAAAAGAAGACAGCTCACCCAGCCATCAAAGGCACACATGTGAATTTAAAGAGCAGACAGAAGAGCTATCAATCTGAGCTCATTCCATAACATCTCATGTGAGATGTTATTGTAATACACTTAACTGTATCACATGACTTATTAACACGGCCATTCGTTTTTGTTAAGAAGCGTTATGTTTAAAGAAATTATTGATATAGTCCACATTTCTGTAAACATGGAAGCAAATGAAGAATTAACACTACTCAGCATCATCCTCCACCAAGTGTAGTTTCATTTGCTTCCTGTAAAGGATATCTTTTGCTTCCTTTCTCCACAAACTCATATGCCTTCTTCCCAAACCTAATTTAACCCTTTTCTTCTCTTTCTCTAGAAAAGGCTGCGCCCCCCAGCGGTTGGGAGCTTAAAAAAAGAAAAAAAAAAGAAAAAAAAAAACCTTTCGTGGATGAGATTTTTAACCCCCTGCAATTTTACTTTCGGGCTGAGTCCAACGCCTTTCCCGCGAGCTCGATATAAGTAGTCAAATCATGAACTTAACCACACTTCTCCCCGGCAGTCAATTTTTTATTTGTTATTTAAGAGAAGGGAAAGGCACAGAACAAAAGAAGGCCAGTTGCAGAATAGCACCAGTCCTTGGATTTAGGAAGAGACTGCAGCGCGGACCACAAGCGCGTGTGGCGCTGTCCACGCCTCGGTGCTGAATACTACGCAGCCGAGAATTTCCCGCCAGGTTCAACCCCTCTGGATCAGAATAGGCTTCAGTACCGTAGACTAAGCTCGTTTCCCTGGGGGGTTGGGGGAGGGTGTCATTTAGACATTTGCTTATTCTCTTTCCACGGAAAAACGTTATTCTACAAAGAGATACTGTGCATTTTATGAGAAAGTAATAGTACAGCTTCAGTTAAACACTAAAGTGAAGAGCTCTACAGAAGAAAAAATAGAAAGTTTGGAATTAATGAAATTTGCCCTTTCTCTCCCCGAGTCAATACAACACCATGTAGGTGCCAAGATCCCCTTGTGATGAATAAAGAAAATGATTTTCTGTTTTTAAAAATCGTGTGATTTATCATTTTTCTGATAAACACTGTAAAGTGGGTGATATTAGGCTCTGCAATATTTGAAACGGAATTTAGTTATTGTTTTTTTGAGGTTGAGAAACAGGAGAGAAGGAAGTAACTTGTTAACTAAGGTGGTTTGACTAGTTTAAAAATACATTTTTTAAAAGTATTGCTTTAACGTTGTCTTCCAGAGGTGCTCATTTTCTTAGGCAATTTAGATCAGTTTCTAAAGAGCAGAAGCTTCCCTCCTCCTGCCTTCCCACCCTCTGTCCAATTTGAAAGCCTTAAGAGCCCTGTTTTTTATAGTAGGTGCTGTTATCAACAGGGCCATTATAAGAATCTTTTCCCCTCTTTCTCCCACACAAGTTAAAGAGAGAAAACGGGCAGAGGGGAGGGAAAGTGTGCTGCGCTCCCAGCCTTTGGTTCTTGGTAGCTATACTAAAATGGGGCACTTCTCTTTGAGAAGTGGTTTCTCACAGCTACAGAATTTACGATCAGACAAGGAACAGAGTTAACCGATCCCAGCAAACGGTTCCTTCCTTTTCTTAATCCCTCCCTGCTTATTTTAGCCGCTTCTCCACCCCGCCGGGAATACCATCCAGATCTTAGTCCAGGTAGATCTGACGTCAAGAGATGGCTTTCGTCGATTTGACGTGTAAACACTCATTTCCATTCCGGCTGGGAAGGGCTGGGGCTCCACTCAGCCCGGAGACCAAAGCGCTGCACTCAGCTCTCGCCGCCGCCCAGCCTCTCCTCGCATGTCGCCTATCTCCTTGCAGGGTAATCGGGAAAGAGAAGAAGTGGTCCAGAGCCGGAGAGTAGAAAGGGCGAGTCTTTCTGGCTTTTCTCCTGTCTTGCTCCTTTTGCCCCTCTCCTTCCCACTTCTGTGAAAGCGAGTGTGAGAGCCATGGGGCGAAGAGCCTGGACTCTGCAGTGTACTGCTTTCGCTCTCTTTTGCGCTTGGTGTGCATTGAACAGTGTAAAAGCGAAGAGGCAGTTTGTGAACGAATGGGCAGCGGAGATCCCCGGGGGACCAGAGGCTGCTTTGGCCATAGCCGAAGAGCTGGGCTATGACCTTTTGGGTCAGGTAAGAGTTTGCACTTTCAAGAAACTTTCTGGGGCCCAAGGGAATTGGCGGGACTGGAGCGCAATCTCCCAAGTGTGAGTCCCAGGTTGCACTCTCCTGATCCCAGTGGCAAAGAGCAGAAGCTTCTCCAGCTCTTGCCCCTGACGCGCTTGGAGAAAGAAGGCTTGCATTATTTATTGTTTGGGCTGGGCGCAGCCAGGCAGAACGAAGCCGCTGCAGCTGGGTAGAGCTTATTCTTGCCGTTGTACGCTCTGGACTTGAAATGTTTCCGCGCGGTTTAGAAGAAAAATCTTTCCACGCGTATTCAGCGAACTTGAGATGCACGCAGATTCTTACCAACCAAGAGCCCCCCGGGAGAGGCAGTGCGCTCTGTCCCTTGGGACCTAGCCAGTCTGCGTCAAGAGCCGGCTGTTTGCTTCTTTTCAATATGGCAGCATCAGATCTAAGTCCTGATGCAAGGGTCTAAGCAGGCTTGGAGATGTCCCCCGGCAGCCTTTGGGGGCACGCCCAGGGCTGAGAGAGCGCCTGTGGCTGAGACTAGCGACTCAGGGACTGGGGGGACACGGAGTAGCCTGGGGAGCCCGCAGGAGAAGAGGTGGGTAAAAGACATGAACCAACTCTCCACGCCTCTATCGAGAGCCCCGCATTTTCACCGGAAACTTGGAAAGTCCGAGCTTCACAACTTTGCTTGGTCAGTCCCCCTGAAGGGTCAAACTGCAGAGTTGACTGTGAGGAAAGGATTTCTTTCTTGTTCCTCAGCCATATGCATACTAGCTTCCCTTGGGGTTTCAGCTTGTGAAGGAAATTGTTGCCTGTCCAAGTAAGGGCTGGGTTAGTAGCTAGCTGGGGGCGGGGCGGGGGCGTCAAGGAATTACGAGGGGGCGCTGTTTAGCTGTGCCATTCTAGGGGAACACCAGGGGATGTGAGTGCTAATCTAAGCTTTCCTTTTCCTTGGTTTAGACTCGAGCTCTCACCTCTTGCCGTGGAAGTGGAAGTTGGTGTGTGTTGAAGCGGGGGAGGAGGGAGTTGTAAAACATTTTGGCGCGTTTTTCTGGTGGTGGGTGGTAGAGACGCGGCTGAAGTCACAGATGAGTAATCGGCGTGGGCGTTGGCGATTCGACAGATCTAATACACTGGGGAATACGCCTTCCTTTGCCAGAGGCTTCTTTCTCCAACTTTATGAGCCAAACTGTCTTTGAAATACCCAGCAGGAAAGTCAGTACACAGATTGACTTCGCGTCCCAGTAACAGACCAAGACTTTTGCTTTTGCTCAGATCTAGTTCTGTGCCAGGCCCCGTGTTAGGGGCTGAAGATTGATAGGAGGAAAAGAAACTTTAAAAGAATCAAGAATATAGAGGAGACTGGTTTAGAAACAAATGATTGCAATTACATATGATTGGTATAGTAATAGAAGTTGTACCCAGAGTCTCAATATTTGTTGACTGAAAGATTGAATATTTGTTGATGGAAGAAAATTAGGGAGGGGTGAAATAAGACAGCACAAAGGAGGCAACATTTGCACAGAGTGTAGGAAAAGAATCAAAGGTTTCCAGAACATGATCAGATTGGAGAAGGCACTCCAGGCATAGCAAGCAGCTTGTGGGGAACCAGGGAAATACAAAGAAAGCTGCTTAGTAGTCAATTGGAAACTACAAGGAATTTGGGGGATCTAAAGAGTGAGTAGTGGGTAAAATTGTACTGGTGTGTACTATGAGCATCATGGAAATCTTTTGTGTCCTGGAGGGATGGGAAGAGGGAGCCGAATACTTAATCATATAGCATTTGGACTGCTAAATAGCCCTGGTAACTGTATGGAAAGAAATTCAGGGAGAGAGCAAAAAATAAATCCCTCTTTCTTTTCTCTTGTATTAGCCCCAGGTATATGCCCAAACCTAGACCATTCACAATTGAAATTGCCTTTCAAAATCATAAATCCAAAAGCTAAAAAACAATAAGCCGGTATTCTTGGTAGGATCTTTGAGAAGGGAATGACAAGAAGCTTTAAAAAATGGTGGGAAAAATCATCTATATTTGCATATATTTGCATATGTTATATTTTCTCTAGCCATTTCTGGTTAAAATGGCATTATTATTAACATTTTAAAAGTAACAATTCTTTGTAAAAGACTAATAATGCTTTCCTGTTTCTACTTATTTCTCCCTTTGTTTACACTAATTTAGCATCATTATCCTGAGGTCCTGAAAGCCTCAGAATAAAGCTAGGATTGGGGGGTGGAAAACCAAAAATAAAACCACTCGATAGCAGAAACAGACCTGAGCATTGGTGATCTTTTCTTATGGCCACCGTTCTTTCTCTTCAACTCTATCTAAAACTTACAACAGGTTCACTCCCTGAGGTTCAGATTTTGATGAGAACCACCAATGTCAAAAACGAAATTCTTCTGATATAACCCATTGTCAATCATTCGTCTCTTAATTAAAAAAAAAAAATACGGGACAAATAGAGAATTTGGTAGCTTCAAATTAAGTACTATTTTGAATAAAGGGACACTGGCTTAAAAGAACAGTGAACATAGTACTAAATGGATCAAAGGTGTCGATAGGTACCCAGAAAAGTTTATACACTCTAAAGTGAAACATCTGCCCTAAATATGGTATTCTTACAAATGTCCTTAATGCTGGCTTTTCCTCCAAAGCCTTAAACTAGAATAAAGTTAAATGGTCACTACTAGCTTATAACAATTATCACTACAGATTCAATTGTTATATTTTATAACAACAACAAATTGTTTTAATTGAATGTGGCACTAACCATAGAAGGTACCCAAAGGGTTTGCCTGCTTTCTGTAAATTATTGTTCTCTGAAAGGATAAACTTGATAAAACGTTTTTTTAAGAAATGTCTACCTACACAATACTGCCACATAGAAAAACAAATGTAGTTCTTCTGAAATGAGTGTAACAGAAGCATCACCAGCCCCCAAGTATAGTGGGAACTCCAGTAATAATTTCATGAGGCTCATCTCACTCAACACACTGAAGAGAGAGAAGGCTTCTATCAGTAACTTCCTCATGAAGAAAAAAATTAACTTCAAGTACAGGGAATGGGCTTAAAAAAAGTTGACTGTCTCTAATTTAGTTGGGTTTCAATCTAACCCATATATACTTGTCTTGGAAAGTAGATTGTTATTTTAATTTTTTTTCCTTTATAGATTGGATCTCTTGAAAATCACTACTTATTCAAGCATAAAAACCATCCCCGAAGGTCTCGAAGGAGTGCCCTTCATATCACTAAGAGATTGTCTGATGATGATCGTGTAAGTGCTGTGCATTTTTATTCAAACCAGTAACCTGATTATCTGCTTTCTGTATGGTTGCCAACAAGAGCAAAAGCACTTTGCAAATATGATTCTTATTTATTGTGATTGCAATTATTTATTTGTAGTGTTTCTTGTAATTTTTATAGGGTTATAACTGCACATAATAATAACAGGATGGAATTGGGTTGGTTAACTAAATTATATACATATGGCGTATAACATACTATATATACATGATACATATATGATATATATGATAAAGATTTGATATTTATATAATACTAGCTCACAAATCCAGTCCAAGTGCATGAAAATAAATATTGAAAAAAGAGTGACAGCACTAATGAAAATGTTTGACAATACAATCCATCAACAACCTTTTATTTTATGCCTGTTATGTACCAAGCACTTTAATATCCAATGTGGGGACGCCAGAAGAATATAATATATGATCCCATTTTTAATAACATTCAGTGTAATTGGAAAAGAAAAAAAAAAAAACCCTGCCATTTCTATTTAGTTCAGTTAGGAAACTAGTGTTTATGAGGGAGCTTTAAATCATGCTTTCACTAGGCCAGTATTCCCATAAGTATTATATTGTTTGATCTCTTTTTATCTCATTTTTGATCTCATTTCATCTCTTTTTATCCTAGTTTTTATACATATTTAATGATTGGGCAATGGTAGAAAATGTGTAAAATGAATATAGGCAAATAGTATGGGGACAATGTTTATGTAATGTACCTATGGATCTTTGAAGTCTGTCTTCAAGGTCAGCAAACATATCAATAGAAATGTTGACTATATTGGAAGCATTGTAATTTGCATACACAATTTTGCTGTTTCTCAAAAATATGTCATACTGATGGAAATTTATCCTGGCTGGCCTAATATCTGTATACATGGTTTTTGTTGCCCAGGAAAGATAATCTAGAGAATTATGGAAGCTTTGTAAGAGATAGAACACATCTTTTCAATTTCCCAGAAAGAAAAGTATTAGTGATAGAAAGGCGATAGAACGGTTGAAAGTACATGGAATTCATAAAGCCTCTGAAATAATTTGCTACATCATTTGTTCTACAACTAGAATTTTTAAAAAGAATAAGACAGATTATGAGGGTAGAGAATGACCAGGCCTGGGTTACTAATGTTCAAATGTAAAAAAAAAAAAATAGCAACCACACCCAAAGAATGCTGTGTCAGGACCTCTGGCAGTGACCCTTACCTAATACACACCCACCGTTAGCTTTTACTCAAGTTAATGGCTAGCTGGGGGGAGACCAAATCAGAGGCCCTGAACACTACTTTAAATTTTTTTGCCCAGTAAAGTCTTTCTTTCACCTTTCCAAGGCAGATGGCTTACTGTCTGTGGTCTTTGAAAAGTAGGACCTCTGGACTAGGCTTAGACTTTGGGCAAAACAAGAGAGATATTTCCTTATTTACTAAATGCATGCCCGATATTAATGCTCAAGGAATTAATGACCTCCCTTCTCAGGAGAAAATTGGACAGATTGAAGCATACCTGTTACTATTATTCAAAGAGTCTCACTAAAATGAACAGCTGCACCAGTTCCATTCTTTAGATATTTCCTTAACAGTTGATTTTGGAGAGAAATGTCAAGGAATAATGAAAAAGAGCTAAGAATTTACTCTCTAACCTAATTTCATTAAAAAAAAAAAAAGTCTATATGATCTTATAAAAATTATCCCCAGAATAATTTAATTGTAGGAAAAATCCTAGAACTTGCAGTGAAAGGTTGGAGTAGGTGATTTTTAATGCTCTTTCCAAATCAAAAGGGTTATTTAAAATTAAGAACATGATGCCTATTACATACATAATGGAAAGACACCACCAATTTGTTCTGTTCCATTTGGTCTGCTCTTAGAGATTAGTGTGGGATTTGGAGTCAATGACACTGTTTATGACAATTAGATGTTTATTTGATTAGATGGCAGAGTGCCTCTTTTTATACTCCATTTTAAAAAATTACTTTTGATTGTCATTTTATTGCTTTTTTTTAATGAGGAATAATATCCTTTCAAATTAGCCCTCTGAAATGCAGCAATCGCTATAAGACTGTTAATGAAATCTCCAAGTATAAGTTACTCTCTCCCTCAAAAAGGAGTACTAGTTCTCTAGCAGCCAGCTTTCAAAGACCGACTCAGATGCAGGCAGCATATTCCAAGCATTGAGGTATTTTAAGCCAAAACAATTAAGCTTGAAAATACAAGCACTTTAAAAAATAAATCATAGTGACTAATTTTTAGCTCTCAAGTCCTTCTCAATATTTATAATAGGTTTGCAATATATTTTCTAATAGAAAATCAGGACAGTCTTAGTAGATGGTTTTATCCTTTAGCTGCAAGTTATTTTTCAGTTTTTATTTTTGGATCTGACTCATAAGTATTCTCACATTAACAATATCACACCCCACACTGGACTATCATCATACACACAACAGAGAGGATATGTTTTGGGTGGGAAACAGTTATGTTACCCAGCAAAATAAGAGCTGGGTATTATCTCATAATGAATATAAGCACAAGGCAGCCCCTCACCCTCTCAGGCCTCCAGTATAATAGGATTATGCCATAAATGTGGGGCAGGTAATTTTTGTACTGTCAAATCTCTTTGCATAATACATGCGACTAAATTAATGATAAGTGTGCATGGTCACTATTGCTCATTCATCACTCTGGATCTGTTTCTCATATTTAAATATACTCTTAAGCAAGAGGCTGAAGCAGACAGGAGCTAGAGTTGCAGATGTGCAAAGACATAGCACCTTTCTCGTCTTATGTAACATTAGCATTTTCTACCTCTTGTGTATAAAGAAAGAGAAATTAAGCTGTAAGAGCACCAGAACAGCAGTCTCTGGGATCTCTTAGCTTGACTCATTCCATAAAAATGGACAAATTTTCAGCTACCTGGAAATTTTCAGAGCCCTGTAACTTCAGTATAAAATGGGTATTATGGTCCATTTGCTGATGAAAGCAGGCTGAGCTTTTCCTTCCATTGAAATCACAGTGTAAGTAATTTGAGGGAATCATCACTTCATTGACTGCTTCTCTTCCCCCTAAAGGTACACTTGACTGTAATTGAGGAAATGTTCATCTACCCAGTGGGCAATCCCTTCTTCTCACTGAGCTACCAGTTTGATCTGTAGTCAAAAGAAAACACTGTGGAGCTGCTTGAACTCTGGTGGGGTCAGTGTTGGAGCTAGTAAGAGGCAAGATGATTACACAGAGGTGGCTAATTTGACTGTTGATTTTCTTGCTGTAAAATTCTTTGTAGGTGATATGGGCTGAACAGCAGTATGAAAAAGACAGAAGTAAACGTTCACTTCCTAGAGACTCAGCACTAAATCTCTTCAACGATCCAATGTGGAATCAGCAGTGGTACTTGGTGAGTATCTACCAAAGGGAGGCATAGGACCTTGGTTATTTTGTTATATCTGCACAATAGATTTTTTTTTAATGATGGAGAATTCAGCAGAGAGCTATGTTACTTGGAGATTAGGGCTGATGGGACCTTCCATGATCTAGATCTGTTTTCCTAGGTGAGAATGTCTGAAACACAGATCTTTAACTGTTATAAGAGGAGGGGTTGTTGCCTTTAAGCTTAGTTGGAATAAGTGCAGAGAATCATGCCATGCAAGTTAGGGGTTCCAAACAGTACTCATGGCAAATGCTGGGCAATAAGCTCATATCTGTGTTTCTTGCTATCTAGCTCTTCTCCCATACAGTCCCATACACTGTAACTTTCAGAAAAGTTATCTGTAAAAGAAAACTCCAAATGTCCTCTCACAGATTCTTGCTCCCTAAATCACTCATATTTGTAAATAGGCAAGTAAATTGCAAGTCCTGATGAGACTACAGCCACTTGGGCATTCAAGGTTCTGCTTTTTATTTTAGAAAACATAAAAACATCCATAAATGACTGTGAACCGCACGATATAAATAGGTTCATTGTGGCAACTGAGGCTTAGGATTTTGGGGGAGATGGAAACACAGAACATCAAATAAGTTTTAGGCAGATAAAAAACTTGAGAATGTCATTATATATGAAAGAAATTTAGGGACAGACTTCTTCGAAGCTATGTAGCTCAGAAAGAGGGGTCACAGGGTGATTCATTCTTTTGTGTGACCTTCCGTTGAAACAATTGGGAAAAGAACAGCACTCCAATGATTCACTTGGCCCCACCCTCAACTGTGTTTTTTATTTCACCTAATTGCCTTCTTCTAAAGAGTACAGTGACCCCAGGAAAAAGAAAGTTGGGTGTCCAGACTGTAGCTTCAGTTCTCATTTTGCAGCAAGCAAACCATGATTTTACCAACACTCCTTTGTTTTGCCTTACCAGCAAGATACTAGGATGACTGCTTCTCTGCCCAAACTGGATCTCCATGTGATACCTGTTTGGCAAAAAGGCATCACAGGCAAAGGAGTTGTTATCACTGTACTGGATGATGGCTTGGAGTGGAATCACACGGACATCCATGCCAATTATGTGAGTCTGGGCCCTACCATGACTTGCAACTTAGGGGGCTGTCTACACAGACACACAGGGCTTTTCTTTCTTCGAGCATGATGGTGCCCCCAGGAATGACTAGCCAACTTTTTGCTACTTCCCTCACACCTCTGCCAGCCCATATGAACTTTTTGGGATTAGTTGTCATTGAAAGAATTTAGCGGAGCCAAGGATTGTATAAAATCATGTGCATTGGGGGTGGGGAAAGGCTCTACATCAACTAAATTATTAAAAGCCATTCAGACTTTTGTGTCACTCAATATTGGCAGCATTAAAGCCATCAAATCAAGCCTGATGCCTGAGATCACTTTCAGTCTTCCTCCTCACATCCCTTATGGATCAGTATCTCTCATATTGTGAAATAACATGAATGTGATTCCTTTCACGCCAATTCAAAGTGTATACTACACAGTGCAAATGTGACAAGCTGAGAAAAGTAAAGCTTATTAGAAATGGGAAATAAGTAAATAAAAACTATTTACTTAATTGTTTAGGAAGCACTTCATAATATCTTAGGCCTTTAGATCAGTGTTTCATCTTTAAGATTTTCCCTTGTCTTTCTCTCATCCTTTCCGTTCACCCAACATTCCCTAGCTGAAGAACAAAAATAAAAGGGGGGGAAGGAAAAGATGAGATAAAAAAGATTATTAGGAAGTAGGAATTATTAAAAGAAACGTTTGAAAATGCAGGAAGTGGCAGTAGTGGTGATAGAATTCTCTATGTGGGAGTAATCTAAGTGTAGTCATCTGGTTGAAACGGTGGGTAGGACCCGGAAGCTTGTCTTGAATTTCAAGCATACTCTCTTTAAGTAAATTACATGTTTATTTAGTATAACCAGGGAGTCTGGAGGAGATCACTGTGGACCTAAGCCTCACCGCACAGCCACCGCTTTGCACCTATATTCATTAGAGGTCAAACTGTCACTAAGTAGCTCCATAGCTTAGTTAAGTCACTCAACTTCTCTGGGCTTCAATTTCCTCATTTGAAAAATGATGTGGTTGAACTAACTAAACTGAATCCTTCTGGTTCTAATATCTTATGAGCTTCTATGAGCTATCAGTTTGGTAACATTCACTGAGAATTGGATGCTGACTTGCTTTTCTGTCTATGTCTGGTTTGTGGGTATAATAAATGATTGGCTACTGGGCAAGAGACTCTAAAACACAGACTTTTGAGTATTTAGCCAGGATGGGAGTGGGATAGGGGCAGAAGGCTTGCTTGAAAGTGCGTCTTCTTCTTCTTCTTTTTTTTTTTTTAATGATACTATAGTGTTATTTTTGTTGTCTCTTTAGGATCCAGAGGCTAGCTATGATTTTAACAATAATGACCATGATCCATTTCCCCGATATGATCCCACAAATGAAAACAAGTGAGTAAATGTGGATTAGGGGTGGGGAGAATAAGTACTTTAAAATGTTTTTATCTTATTGGAGCTCTCAGAAAATGTTCACGCATGCCATCCATACCATAATATTTTGTTGCTTTTAAAACAGAAACCAAAGCTTCTATTTTTATATTCCTTTTGGCTTATAGAACCATATTTCAATTAAACTTTTTTTCTTGTATTATAAAATACTCCCCTCAAATGTTACTGAATAGATATAACTTTAGAAAGAATATTTGGGACATCGAGAGTAAAAACCTTGAGCCTACTGCCCTGCTCCCAATTCCTCTGTGAATCTTTTACTATTAGCATAAAGCTTGATGTTAGTCATGAAAAGAAATATAAATGGCCAAGGTAGCAAATCCCCACAACTTCCTATGGTGGCTACAACCATGCTCATCAGTTCTTTCAGAAGAGCATGGCCAGATGCCAGACAAGAGAAAGGTACCCTGAAGCCTGGCACTCAAATTCAACACAGTCTCTGGGGCATTGGACTAGTTAGTAACCCATTCTCGAGTTCCTGCTGGGTATTCTAAAGCTAAAGAGAAGGGAAAGATTTTTAAAGAGAGGATATTTTCTGGCTTTTAAATCAACTCTCTGTAACAGCCACTGGGTGATGAGAGAGGCTAAGAGCCAGACCTACCAAAGCAAGAAGCCAATTAAAGGCCCAGAAACAAGACAGTTTAACCCTTTTCTAACCCCAAAGAAACTTTACCCTCTAGGCATAGGGTCTCAAGTGTCTGTGCTCATGTGAGAACTCATAATGGTATCTCCCATAGACTTCAAAGAGACATTCATACTTTCCTCTGTTTCGCTCCACCCAGAAGAGACTAGCACCAAAATAGATCAAAGCCAAGGCAAAATTAGGGCTTGCTGCTACAAGTAGGGATGAAAAGAGCAAGCAACGAAAAGCTTCCCTTCTCTCCCTGTATGGCTTTCTCTCTCTAGGACTATTATCCACTTAGATCAATTAAGTCCCCCCTCTCTCTCTCCCTCTTTGCTTTTCTCTCACTCTCACTTTCTTTCTCTCTTTCTCTCTTATTCTCTCTCAGAATTCTCATGTGGTTAATATAATAATATTGACCTAAAGGTGTTTCTTTGGATGGCCCCCCTCCGGAAGGCCAACAAACCCCAGAAAGGGAGGCTGGGGCTCTTGGACTTGGCCTCAACTTCTGGGTGTATATTTCTTCTTTGGGATAAAGAAGAGGCTTGAAGGGTTCCAAGACGGTGCTTCTTTCAATATCATTTACTTCTTCTAGGTTTTATTTCTTAAAGGCATTAACTGAAAACACCCCTTAGAAGTTAGAACATTCCAGAAACAGTACAACAAGCACTGTGAGGGAATGCCTTTGGAGGACAGTGGGATGTTTCATGAACTTACAGCAGGGTCCCGCAGATAAACTTTCAGCCATATTTCTGAGTCACAGCTGGCAGGACCAGGAGGAACATCTGCTCTTCTGGATCACAGCCTTGTAGTGTTAGCCTGGCTGTTAGTCATGATTTTGCTGATTACCAGTATAGAGGATGACCTGAAGGAAATCACCTCTTTCTGCCTCTATTTTTTATTTTGTCTCCTAAAATGGGTGACAAGGCACCTGCTCCCTACCCTCCTAAAAGGAATTTCCTAAATAAATGGCAATAAGTGCATGGGTGAAAGAGGTACCCTTCTTAGAAATAAGTGAAAATGACAACTCTCACCTCATCCTCTTGGTCAAGAGTAAGAAGGAAATTTGCTGCCAGCCCCATGAGGAGACCGTTAGCTGGAGGTGCCAGCCTCCTTTGTAGGCAGGGTACCCTGGGTCTGTCCCAGGCTCCAATGTAGGTGATAACATGTGGTGGCTGCATGGTAGGTGAATACTTGGTGAAATTATATCCTCTAGAGTTTCTCTACACATGAGAAAGGGGGCTTAGATTTCCCTCTTTCCTCTCCACGAAAGGGAGAATCTCACATCACAGTATTTATAATAAATTCTCCCAACTCACAGAGCTCCAAAGGCCCCCAAGGAAACAGCGCATATAATTGTACTTATTTTGTGCCTGAAAACTCTGAGCTTTAAAGAATAGCCCGCCATGGACCTTCCCCATAGCACACAGTTTTAGTGTGTTGCAGTCAAACAGTTAAGAGTACAGACTTTGCAGCTAGAATTAGATCAAGTATTAAATCTTCCACTTAATAGTTGAGTGATCTTGAGGAAATTATTTAATTTCTTTGTACCTCAGTTTTACCACCTATTAAAAAGTGATAATAATAATATCTACTTCATTGAGTTATTATGGGGATTAAGTGTGTGTGTGTGTGTGTGTGTGTAACTGGCTTAGATAGTGCCTGGTACATAGAAAAAGTTAAGTGTTTGCTATGATGTTCATGATCATGATCATGACAACGATGATGAAAATCATGCAAATGATGATGATGATGATCAAGGCTTCTCATTTAGCAACTAAGGTAGACATCCTTTCAGTGAGAAATCAGCATGACAAGAGTAATATCATGTGGCAATTGGAGCAGAAGCAGAGACAAATCAATTTTCTGAGCCAGTTCAGAATCTGCTATTTGAAAATTAAACAATAAACAACTGTCTCTCAGGGTCCTCTTGACTATAAACCAAAAAGGTAGCATCCCTATCATTTATCAAAAGGTATAATAAAAAATAGAGTTACCATTCAAGCATGTTGTCAAAAATAAATCCTTCAGGTTTGGAAAATGAATAGCCCCATTGTATCTTGGCCTTATAGCAGTCAGAGACTTACTATCTCCCAATTCCAGGGAATTATCGCTCCAAACTCTCTGTGTTGCTGCTATTCTTTATTACTATGAAAATGAATTAACAGAAGGTGTATTCCAATTCTCCTCTGCGAATCAAAAGAGGAATCACTAAATAATAAAACCTTAAAAGTGCAGATAACTCTTACTATTAAGCTGGCATGAATCTGTATTCAGTATTTCAATACCAATTACAGATTATTTTTCTAGTTAAATAACATGTGTGACAAGGATATTTTAACCACTATAATAGTAGTGTTTAAACTATCTTGTGGAATAATTTTTTAAAAATTGATTTGTTTAAATGCCAGTTACTACCATTGTTCTAAGTTAATAGAGGGTTATTTTATCTCAGAGCCTGATTTAATGAAAGAAGAAAAGCTACAGGTCTATAAAGGATGACATAACCACTTTGATAAAGTCTTCCTTTTTTCTCAAGGTGTGGAGGTGGGAAGTGAGGATAAGAGGAGATAAAAATATCAACCCCATTTGTAGTATGATTCTACTACACCTCAAGAAAAGAGTCCTCAGTATGCAAGGAGAGGTAAATAATAGGTCATGTCGCACTGCATCATTTTTAGGAGAGAGGTACAATGCTGAAGATGTTTTCCAACAGGTTGACTCTGTTGGCTCAGGCTGGAGATTTTGCTATCCTCTTTCATTCTGTGTAAGTGGAAATATAGGCAGTGGTGACTTTTGGGAATACATTCTCCAGAGGATGACAACTGAATTTCTTCCTCTAGAAAGGCAAAGTGGGTTAATCCATCAAAGAAGCTGCCTTATCTGTTCAATGTGCACATATTTCTCAGAAAATGGGTTTGTTGGTCTGGACAGCTTCAGTTCCAAGTGAGAGAATCCTATCTCAAAGATAAGTAAAATGGGCACTTAAAAAAATCACCCAAGGGATAGTCTAGCTTCAAGCATTGCAAGATCCATGAACTCAAATAATATGCCATCAAGATACCAACCACTCTGCCTTCATCTACTAGGGCTGCTTGCCTCAGCTTAGCCTCATTTTCAACAGAATTTTGTCTGGGAACAAGATCCATGTGGCTCACATTGAACTTAAAGCTCAAAATTTCAGAGAAAGAATAGAATTCTCTTCCCCAAAATATGCTTTAATCCTAGAAAGATGCCTGGGAGAAAGAGCTTCATAATAAAGAGAATCACAAGGAGTGAAGAAAGGCCTCTTCCTCAAAGGGGAAAATTCTAGGAGTCAAAAAAAGAAGCAAATGTCTGCTTAACTAGGAAAGACCTTGAATTAAAGATAATTATATTCTTTGGACCTGGGATTCCTATCCAATATTTGAAAAAGCAGGAACATCATTTAGTGGAAGGAGATCAGGAAATCATCTTTGGTATTTCAGGAAAAAGAATAAGTGAAACGGACTTATTTTAGATGACCCAGTCAATTTTGGATTTTTATATTCCTTATTAGGCTAAGTTAATACACGTCTAGTGTCTAAAAGTAGCTGGTTAACAGAGTTGCTCAGAGCTAACCCTTCCTTCTTTCTCTCTGTGTCAGCATTTCTGGTCAACAGCTCCTCCAACAGCCTTCACAGTGCTCCCAGGTGCTTCCATAATGCAATATAGTCATGAAATAAACACATTTACATTAAAGTTTTCTTGACTTACAGGCCATCCTGAAGTCAGGGTGGTGGTGGGAAAAGACAATTATTATCCCCAGAATTTCAGAACTGATGCTTTAATGGTGGACTTTGGTTTGTTTTAGACATGGATTTTCCCCCTAAATACTCTGAAATCATAAGTCACTCTCTACCTGACTGCAAAACTAGGCTTATTCAGGCCTCTAGCCCCAACCAGTTGCAGAAGCACCCTGGCTTCCCAATTAGCCTTTAGTATCTTCTTAAAATCTCCAACTCCTCTTGGTATCAGAAAATCCTCAGATGTTTTAATTTAGTGTATGGTTAAAAGAAGGGAGGAGTTCTTGAAAGTGGACTCTGTTCTGTCATATCCTGCTAGGGCTGGTCCAGGATAACCTAATCCAAGGAAGTCACTAGGGGTAAAATGAGCAGCCACTTCACCACCAGAAAGCATGGAGCAGAAGCCATTTCTCTGGAAACAATTTCTGAATGTGTCAGAGTTGCTCATAATAGTATCCACAGCTAATGCTTACTGGTTTCTTACTATATGCCAACCACCATTCTCAAGACCCATACACAATATCTCAGGTGATGTCACAACCCTTTAAGGACAAGTAATTAACACTAGGTCACATCACTAGCTGGTGAAAAAAGTTAGAATTTGAACTGATATGCTCTGGCTCCTGTACCTGTGCCCTTCTTCTGATAACTACTCTTCATCTAATGCTGATGGGAAGAAAACCAACAACAAAGCTGACAAGTTAATAGATCTACGTACCATAGATTCATGTGCAAAACACATATTTGTCCTCATTTGCGTTTTATAATTTCTATTTTTTAATCCTCAGACATGGGACCAGATGTGCAGGAGAAATTGCCATGCAAGCAAATAATCTCAAGTGTGGGGTAGGAGTGGCATACAATTCCAAAGTTGGAGGTAAAGCAGAGGGCTCTTTTTACACTTTTGAACTTCTTTAAAATTAGTTTTGGATATTTATATCATTTATAAAATGATCCTCCTGATTACTCTAGCTTTCCTCTGGCGCTACACCTAGCCATTACGTTACTGCTGACTGCATTCCCTATGCCATGCTCCCCATCCCTGTGACCATCTTTCAACTACTAATTTGTTCCTCTTTAACCCTTCACCCCTAATCTCTCAGCACCCCTAATTCCCCTCTCCTCTGGCCATCACTAGAATGTCCTCTATATTTGTGAGTCTGTTTTCGTTTAGTTTGTTCTTTTCATTCCTTAGATTCCCCATAAAGTGAAATCATGTGGTATTTATCTTTCTTGTCTGACTTATTTCACTCAGCATAATAACCTTTAGTTCCATCCATGTCGTTGCAAATGGTAGGATTTCATTTTTTAATGGGAAATCAACAAAATAAAAAGACAACCTATTGAATGGAAGAAGAAATTTGACTATGATACACCTTGAAAAGGAGTTCATTTCCAAAATGTATAAAGAACTCATAGAACTCAACAACAAAAAACAAACAACCTAATTAAAAAATGAGCAGAAGACCTGACTAGTTTTGCATTTTTAATTGGAGTCACCCAGTATAAATGAGGTGGGGAGTGGGGCTTTTAAAAAACTGAAGAAAGAAATGAAATCCATGCAAAATTTGCTGCAAGACTTGAGTGTGATTTGCAAATAAATCAGAGGATCAGGATATGTAGAAAATGATACCCAAATAGAGTCTATATCTCTCTATGGGGGAAAAAATGGAAATGTTAAATAGCCTTTGAACCAAATCTAATTTTCTCTGTATTCTGATTTAGAAAGGTTTGTTATTGAGTGCTGCTCTGGGAGCAGAAGGAGGAGATATATTTAGGCAAAGACTTCCCCTGCCTCTCAGTTTTGTAGTTCTTCATTTCATAACAAAGAACAATTTTAAAAAATAAAAAAATATATACTTGTTATATTAAGAAGCTAAAGGTTATCTTTAAAAGCAAGTATTTAGAATCTCTAGTTTTTTCTGTCAATGGGGAAACATATGGTGAGTTCTATTAGAGTCGTTTAATAAAAGAACTATTTACAAGAGTCGAAAGGAAACTAACAAGGGCTAACAAATGTAGCATAGGTCACCACCTTTAGGCCTAAAGGAGCACAGAGAAGGGGTCAGTGGAAACTGCAGAGAGAAAGCTGTGGCCATAGGAGAGAACCACTGGTCAGGAGCTATGGGGTCAAGTGCAGCAGAGCTATTTCTAGGCAGGGAGGATTCAGGGGAATGAGTACCTCACTCTCCCCTTGTCCCCCCGCCTCCTACTGCTGTCCTCAGTTGGCTGAACCCAATGGGAAAACAAGAGAATCCACTGATGCAATCCCTGTTCCTGTGCCAAGGGTGCAGAGTGGACTCACAGAGACTGCACTCCATTTTAGAAATCAAATAAATATACATTCTAGCATATATAATACCTCTCTCACCAATATAGCACACTCTTAGATTTTGTTATTCCTGATTGCTTTGATACTAGCATCATCAAAGTGCTGTGTTAATTTAAAGAAAATGAAGGCAGAAGCACAAATTATGCAATCACCTAAAAAACAAATTTACTTTTTAAGTCATGATAAACTAAGGTGCTATAGTCTGTGAGAGAATCATCTGATCCCTTCATTTTATAAAATAGGTATCAGAAGCATGATTATCAAGGTAACAGTTTGTGGCAGTGTTGAACTAAAGCACAAGGCTTCTGATTCCAAGCCTACTGCATATTTTTGATTCCTCTATCCTTTGATAATCTAACCCCAAGTGCATTTTTTTAATAATAATTTTCATTTTTAAGCTCCTACTATATGTTCATCACTTACCCTACAACACACTATAGGTGTTTTATCCTGAAAATTAACAGGGTAGATTTGGGTACCAGATTTCTGAGATTCAAGTCCTGGCTCCCCAATTTCTAGCTGTGTGGCCTTTAGCAAGTCACTGTCCCTCTCTGGCCTCAGTCTCTTTTACCCCATTTTACATTTGAAGAAACTGAGGCACAGAGGTTAAGTGATTTGCCCAAGGTTATGTATATGGTAAGCAGAAAAGATGCGTTTTTCTCAAGTGCATTTTAAAAAAATTTTTTTAATAAATATAACTTTTATTAATCATGTCAATTACATGTTTTCTTGGTTTTTTACCTATACGGTAAATAGTAGTGTGAAAATCTAAGGCCATATGCTCCATTGCATTATCAGCCTGAAGCCAGGAATAACCAGGTGACTGCCTGTATCTATCTAAATTGCTTTTGCCTTCCTGGCTCTCGAGTACATGAGTTTGATGATGTGTGACAGCCTGTTGGAAAGCACAAAGCTGCCTTCTCCTGATGAAAAAATGATTCCCCCTCAGGAGTGGAATCCATGGCAATGATTTCATCCTTGAGATTATTTAGAAGAAAAGGAAGCGTGTTCTATTGAAAATGTTCTTAGCAAACATTTAAA